TAACATGTTTGCTAAAAGTTACAGAATTGTGATAGTAAAAATGGAAAAATGTAAATTGATGAAGCAAGTAAGAACAGCTTTTAATTCTCCAATTCCTCAATCTGTTCCTGAGGTTTAATAGTTATAGAGGATATCATGATTAGAATGCTAATCCATCTCCACGGCAAAACCAACCCTGTTGCCCTCAGACTGATTTAGACTCTAGGCAGAGAAGGGTAGAACTCCACAGGATTTTCTTGGCTGTAATCTTTACAGAAGCAGATGACCAGGCCTTTCTTCCGTGGGGCCACTATTTCAAACTGCTGATCTTTCAGTTATTAGGAGAGTGTCAACACTTCTAGAGACTTAGCATCTCCGTACACTTCCGTGTTGATTCTTTCTTTGGTGCTTCTTAAACTGTAACTAAGAATTATTATCCCAGGCTGTCTACACACTAATCTGCACATTTTCTTAGGTAATTTTGACCACCCTGGAGACAGGTTTTACTGTAGGTAACTCTAATGAGATGTTATTCTGTGATGAAATGCATTTATTCACAGCCTTACTGATATGGGTATGATGTGAAACTGGAATGTGGATATGACAGGTACAGGGAGGAGAAGCACCTACTGTATCAATGAATGAAAGTTGTTGGCTGGAGATTTAGGGATGGACTTCTGTTTTGGATACAAGAGTTGGCTCTGGTGTTTCTTGGCGAGCATATTCATACTCTATACCTTGTGTCAGGTTTAGCAATAGGTTACCTTTATGTTTAGATTCTGCCTCGATGATTTAGTAGTTCATAACCTCCCAAGCAGGGGACTTTTGTCCTCAGGAGACATTTCTGATTTTTGGAACTGAAGGGTATGCTATTGGCATCCAATGGGCAGGGACGAAGAGTGCTGGTGAGAGTCAAAACCCCGGAGCTAGAACTTTCTTCTCTACATTTCTTTAGGCACAACAGTGGCTTCATAGAATCCTTCAGAGGTAACTGTTCCTCCATGAAAAAGATCGATTCAAAATAGTAAAAATGTGGACGGGATTGTTCGTTCTACAGTCTGTCTCTGCCCCAGGGAAGCCTGGTATTTTGTTGCTTGGTGTCTGTTAATGTGGAAATGCTAGTCTGGCTTCATTCTGTGAATTGCCAAGACGAAGCCCTCTTGCCTCTTTGTTAACTCAATGGCTGCTTTCTCCACAGCTCTGACCTGATTTTCTGTGGGAGGCTCCAGGGAATACCTTATTGTGTTCTTACCTGCTCAACAGGTTTTCTAGGACTATTTTTTTAAGAAATAAATACTTGTGAAAGGGAGAAAAACAAATCCAAAACCCTCTAAGGCTGATGTTGAATTCATGAAAGATGAGGCTGCCCCTTTTTCTTCAATCCTGAACCCTTTTATGTAGAGGTGAGAGAAGGATGCTCAGAATACATTTTTGTCTGGTCTCTCAGATCCCAAGACTGTGTGCTTTTTTCCTTCAGTTCGTAATACACCTTCTGCCCCCTCAACTTCACAGTGGAGGGTAATTTTCAAGAAGCTCAGGAGAGTTAAAAGTAGCACTTACTGAATGACTACTACTGTAGGTATGTGTTTTTTTTTTAATGATTATAAGAAAGCTAACTGCTTGAAGATGATAACTGTGGCCGCCAGGTACCTAGTGTTAGGGTGAAATCCCCTGGAGCTACCCTCAGGAACAGGTGCCTTGATCTCCATGTGCTCTCTTTGGAGGTGAAAAGGAAATTCTGTGTGATTTAACCCACTGCCAGTTCAAATGCTTAGCGACCGACCTTCCATCAGGTTTCCAAACTGTCAGTCTTTGTGAGAAAAGACCTCATCTTTCTTCCTCAGAGCAGCTGGTGGATTTGAACTGTTGACTTTTAATTAGAGCCTGGCACATTATGCACTATGTCACCTTTTTAAGCATTTATTAAGCACACCTTGGGAATCTGGTTTATTTAACGTGTAAGGTCTCAGGATCACAGCCTGAGGGTCTTCATGGTCAACTGACAAAACATAGTCCCAAAAGAATACTCTGGAGCTTATATTGGTGCAGTTCCGTTCTTACTCTTACAAAAGGGTCTTACCGAGTTAGAATGGGCACTGTGGCAACTAATAACAATAAACAAAGATAGTGGATGAGTGTGATGTGTTACAATTTCTATTCTTGCCCCTATAGAATTCACTTAGGAATACTTCCAACTTCAACCTCTTAAGAGTAATTGGTCCAGTTTGCACGTTGTGATGGAGGGTAAATTACTCCCTAGAGCTAGAAGGTTGGGAAGTGCTATTTGGACTAAAAAAGGAGTTGTGTATCTATAGATGATTGTTTTTATTAGGGGAAATATGTTGGGCTCATTTTCATAGAATTACAAAATACTTTTTCTTTTTTCTTTAAGTGAGTTGCTTTCTACTACTTAAAAGCTAAGCTATTTTTACATTTCCTGTAAGTGGTAGTATTATTTTTTGTAATTAAACCAGTAGGCAGGAGAACCTTTCTTTCCCATCAATAGCAAAATTATCAATAAAGATACCAAATGCTACTTGATGCTTCACAGAGTCTGCTCTGACAGCCAGTTCTCTTGACTGTTATTCAAGGACATAGAATCGAATTTGGGTCCTGATTGCAGTGATGTGATCCTTGTGTAATAATTGCAGTACAAACTACTTACTTTTATTTGAACAGTGTAATTATTTAATACTCCTTTTGTTGACTTTTTAATTAATATTATGTTTTGGGAAGTATAAACAAAACAATGATTGCCATAATTATTAGTAATAATTATTTTGGAGGACAGCATCAATTACCCATTGCTCATGAGTCTGTCCGATTCAGGTAACTCAAAGAGAATAAAAAATGTAAACCCTTGGATAGAGTTTTATCAAATACCCTCTGTAGATTTGTAACAATCTGCATTCTGACAATTTTGCATAGACAAACTTCCTTACTTGGAAATTGAAAAAAGAAAGGTATGATAGGAGTGTCCAGTGGTTGAAACCTCCTCTAACAAATGGTGATCCAATTGTTCCAAACTCATTCTGTGCCCTTCTTTCCTTTACTCTGCATTAGCCATTTGCCTATTCCAGGAACATACAAGGCAGATTCCTCTGTCAGAGTGGTGAGGTAGGTGTTCCTTCAAACTGCATGGTCAGACATCCACTTGACTCACATCTTCACCTCTCATAAGTTTTTATTCCCACTGCTGCTTTCTCTGATCTCCCATTTAAATATCACCTCTGTTCCCACTACACACATGGTCACACATGTTTAAGATCCTTTGTGCTTGCTTTATTTTTAACTAAAGTCCTTGTTTTTGTCTAACATCTGGGTTTGCTGCCCTGTGCCCAACAATGAAACAGGACCTGGCACAGAGTAAGGTCTTTATAATCTTTTGTTTGATGAGTGAGAGAGGAAACTCCTACTTTGTAGCTTTGCTCTTGTTGATTAGTGCTGATTGGCTTAACAGCAGACTTCCCTTAATCATCTTTGGCAAAAGAAGTACCAATTTTATCCAGTAGTAAGGTTATTTTGTGTGTATGCTTGAATATGTATGTGTATATATATGTATGCTTATGCATGTACATAACCACTTTTGTAGTATATGTACTTATCCCTTTAGTCTACCTATCTGTTGATCTATCATCTAGTGATTTATCTGTTTTTGTAGCTGGTGGTGTTGCAAGTTCTTTCATTATTTGTTCTTCTATCTGTATTATCCATATAGCTAGGGAGAGTGTAAATTTGTATATAAATTTCTAAGGGAATATTTAGAAATGTTTTCATTTAAAAATGCATGTACTATTCAATCGAGCAGTTTTACTTTGGTGACTCTCTCATAGGATGTATTTAAATATTTGCAGAAGTATGTAGCATAAAGTATCCCCCAGAGCCTTGTTTATAATAGCCAATGATAAGAAATCGCCTTGGTGGTGAATCCCAGAGAACTGGCTTATCGGAAAGGATACACTCATACAGTGAAACACTGTGTGTAAACGGAATGAGGAAGTTTATACCAATATAGAAAGATCTAGAAGAGACACTACAGAATTTTTAAATGTATCGAATCATACTTTTTCCATTAAAAAAGAAATGTAATAATGAATTTTTGTATTTATCTTATACTCTTGAAGAAATTCTGGAAAGACATGTAAGAAACAATTACCAATAGTATACACATGGTATCTCTGGAAGGACAAAAGGTACAGGTGGGTGTAGGATGTGTGTGACTTGAGGAGGATAGAGATGTTACACACTATGTCTTCACATACATAATAGAGTTCGGTTAGGGATCACAGGAATGTTTTACCTGTTCAAACCTTCAAGTTCAGTTCATCCAGAAAGAAGTGGGCTAGTTAGTGGGGAGGAGGCAGAGGGTAATCTTACTACCTTTGTGTGAGCAGTGTTGTTCATGCAGACAAGAGCTCAAGGTCTGCGCTGCCCTGACTCCACGTCTGTGAGGTTTCCTTTGCCATTGGAGGCACATTGTGTGAGTTGGCCTTGAGGGGGGCGTGCGTGTGCGCAGCAGTGCGCCTTCCTCATGGCGCGCTGGTTGCTATAGTGCAGAGATCTATTTGTGACACAGAACACACTTTAAAGAAACACTGCTTCCTGACCATGACTTCCTGGGCAATCTGTCCTTCCGGCGACTGTTAAACTTGAAGGGTTCACATATTTACTTGTATGGAGAGTAAGCAGGACTCTTCCTGCCTGTGTGCCCTCTGGAGCTGAACCTGGTGTAAGGGACCACTTTCTTCCCTGTCCCCCCACCCCCAGAGTCCCACAGGCTGTGCTTACCGAGGCCCAATCATCTCTTTGTGGCTTTGACTCTAGGGCGTTGGCATCCTCTCTGCCTCTGTTCCTCAGGAGCCCGCTGCTCAACATGCAGTTGGCGCCCAGCTTCTTCAGCACCAGTGCACCGGCTGGGGCCCCCTTCTTATACCTCAACCACCAATGCAAACAGGAAGTGATGCAGCAGAATTTGTCCTGCTTCTTCATTGACCGCCTTTTCTTTTCCTTGTTGTTACTCTTCTGTAGGTATAAACACGTGCGGTTGTCTGCACCCTGGGATTCCTAGTTCTGTGGGTTTTGCACCTCTCCGGGGTTTATGATGCCGCCCCCCGCAGACATCGTGAAGGTGGCCATAGAATGGCCTGGCGCCTACCCCAAACTCATGGAAATCGATCAGGTTAGTACTGCTGAGAGCAACATTTTGGTTATTTTCAGTTTCCTTTCTCTGCTGGAATTTTCATAGACTCCTTTGTCTCTGGCTGTCTTGGAAAAAATCTGAAATAATCGTTGCAGTGTAGTTTGATTTTTGTACCACATGCAGTGGGGATGGTTGAGGCTTTATCAGTACGTGGCTTGTGTCTGAAGCTGTGATGGTGGCAGGAGGGACAAGTGAATGGGACTCTGAGCTGCTGACAAAGAGAAGGCTGTGTGTCCCTATGTGCCAGTTGTCTTAACATTGGCCATACACAGTTTAATTTCTGAATCAGTTTTCTCTTCTCTTTTTACAAAAAGGAGCCAACAAGTACTTTGGAACTTTGTTAGATTAGTAGCAGTTGTTTGGTAGAATTAGTAATGGAGGGACTTTTATCTTGGATACCTGCAATTTTCGGTTTATTAGTGTAGAATTCATTAGGTGTCTACATCCTAGCTAGCAGGTAATAGAAAATAATACATACTTAGTAACTAGTTATTTGCTTGTTTAATAACTAAAGGCATTGGTTTTGTCCCAAGTGGTGCAAATGGTTAATATCCTTGCCTGTAATGTGAAAGATCTGAGACTCAAGTTTGAGCAGAAGCTCCTTGGGGGAAAAGAAATCCCAGATAACCTGGTGCTTTTCTTGTGAGCTATCAGCCATTAAAAACCCTGTGGAGTTCAGCTCAGGTCCTACACATACTGAGTTTTCCATAGTTTCTACCACTGGGAAGCTAAATAGTATAAATGTTTTTGTATGGGAAAGTTGTAGAAAAGACTTTTTAAAGTTGTTTTACCTACTAAGTGTCTTTTAGATTCAATCCTGAATCTCATGCTTAGAGCTCTCATTTACTTTGATAACAGGTTTTTGCAGGTGGTTATTTTTTCCTTTCTTTGACTATAGTCATCCAGACCAAATGGTTTCAAGGGAAAAGGTTTAAGACTTAATATACAATTAGGGGTTTCATAAAGCATATAATATAGGTGATTAGATGACTTACTCTGTTTTCAAAATTAGGGTACCATAGTAACTGTTTTCCATTTCTGGTTTAGATACTATTTGCTATCATAACTTACATATTTTTATTTCTTGGTGAGAATTTTATTATTTGTTGAAGACGAATTCAGGAGCAGTGATATTGTATGAATACAAGAGAATCAATTATAAAGGTCAAATCAGAATTAATTAGGCTTGAAATTGAATGTATGAAAGGATATGTTTTTTAGGTTGTTATCACAAAAGCTATCCATGTTTCACTATCATTTTAATTTGAGTGACTGAGGCAGTTTTATGTGATTATTATATATAGTCCATGCAAATAGAAATGCTGATTTTTGTCAGGAAACAAATGCATATTTGTTTGGGACAAGATCCTTGCCAAATTTATCTCAAAAAAGAGAAAGTCTGAAAAGAGTTGATGCAGACTAAAAGTAATTAGAACTTTGGTGCAGACTAAATATAGTTAGGAGTAGGCTTGACTGTAGTTTGAGAGACTTTCTTCAGCAGGGCAGAAATTTGTCCTCACATGCATATCATGGGCCTGTGCTGGTGTGCCGCTCCACAGTGTTATGGACACTTGTTGCTCTTCCATTCTCATGAAGTGGGTCTGTGGAATAGCTGCATGCACTGGGAGATAGTTGGATATCCCTAGGCCAGACCTCCTGAACCAGAGTCTTCCTTTTAATGAGTCCATCAGTGACTCCTATGAGCAGCAAATCCTGAGAAGTATTGAGCTCGATACCTTTTTCTCAATCCTAGATGCTACCTTCACCATCCTTTAAGTACGTGCTCTCCGGACCCTCATCCAGTGGGTTTTCAGAAGCTATAAATTGCACTGAGGAGCTTGCCAATCTTTCTCTCTCAGAGCAGCTGGTGGATCTTGTGCCTTTGGATTGGCAGCTCAACACTTTACCACTAGTCTGCCAGAGCTTGCCATCTATATATGTTACAGAGAAAGCAAGTAAGCAAAACTCATTGGGTAAGACAGAGTAGAACTGCCCTGTAGGATTTCCAGATTGGCTGTCTGATGCACTGTTAACCAACAGTGTGGAGATTCAAGTCCACTAGCCCCTCCACAGGAAGAAGATTCACAGTCTCTCCCGTCAAGATTTATAGCCTTGGGAACCTGGTGAAACTTCACTATGAGTTGGAATTGACTCGTTGGCAGTGTTGTTGATAATCTGCATAGACACACACTGCCATATTGTTCTCCCACAGAGCAGCTGGAAATTTCCACGGAATAGCCTTCAGGTTAATAGCTGTCACTCAGCCACGGCTTCCCTATGGCTTCTCAAAACAAACAGAGAAAATAAATAGTAAGGCCAATAAGCAAAATAGCAATGGTTTCTGAATCGGATTTTATTTTTTTAAAAAAAAAGTATACAGGACTTCTTTGTATAATTTTTGCAATTTCTCTGTCTTTGAAATTACATCAAAATACAAAGGTATTCTTCTAGACTGCCAAGGCCATCGAAAACAAGAAAGTACTGGAAAATTGGAATTCTGGATCAGGTCCTAAACTAGAAAAATAAGACTAGTAGGAAACTGGAAAACCATAAATAATGTTTGAGTTTAGGTAATAGTACTATTGCTGTTGTTGGTGTGTGCCATCGACTCTCTAGCGTGTTTTTAGGAGCAGTTAATCACACAGGAGGCTGCCTATCTAACCTGCTTCTGTAAAGACTTGCAGTCTTAGAAACCCTATTGAGTAGTTTTGTCCTATCTCTCCTACAGATCTATTGTAAGTTGGAAATGACTCTTTGACAATGGGTTTGCTTAGTTGATTTATGTATGTAAGAAAATTCTTCTGAACCTTTTGAGGGTGACGTGAAGGCATCACTCCTCCTTACTGCTATACTTTCAAAATATATTTTATAATAATGAAGTAACTGTTACATAAGCATGGTGTAATTATAAAAATACAGGGCAGTTCAACTTGATTCAACACTCCCTTTGAATTTAAAACCCATAGTCTATTGTCATATTTCACAAGACTTTTCAAAAAGACCCATTGTAGCTATTTCCCCTTCAGTCTGATACAGGATCATGTATTGGCTTATTGTCAAGTTTCTTTGGTCTCCCTTAATCAATGACATTCTTTATTCTTTCTTTCTTTCATAACCTGGGCATTTTTAAAGAATACAGGACAATCCTTTTGGAATGGTGTTCTGTTTAGGTTTGGGGATTCGGGCTTTCCCATTGTGGCAGAAATGCTAGAAGATGATGTGTCTTTCTTGGTGCATCCAATCAGCAGGCACATGATACTCCTTTATTCCATTATTGATAATTACCTGATTTTATAGACGAGCATATTTAGATTCAGAGAAGTTCATTAATTTTCTAGTCAGTGTCAGAGCAAGGACACAAACCCAGGCCTCTCTCACCCTAAAAGACTGAATTTTCAAGCGTTTGACTGAATTGTATATCTCTTCTTAATCCCATGTTGGGACCTACACAAGGACTTAGAAACCCACGTGCTTGCTCTAAATGTTCTTGGAGTTGCCGTGAGACTCATGACAATGTTGGTGTCAAATGTTTCTTGACCTACCAAGAAGTTGGTGTGAACATTGCAAATATATGTGTGCTAAGCTCGTGGACTGCTAAAAGAAGTAACAGATATATCTTTGAGAGAGTGCAACCAAAATGCTCCTTAGAAGCAAGAATGGCAGAGCGTCGTCTCATGCTTTGATCATGTTGTTAGGAGAGGCTTTTCCTTGGAAAGGGGTGTCCTGCTTGGAAAAATGAAGGGTGAGTGAATGTTCATGGCCATCATGCTTGGAAAGATGGCAGGCCAGTGAAGGAGATGAAGACTCTCAGTGAGATGGATTGATACATTGTGCAGTGGATTCAATTGTGTCAAGGATAAAGATGGTGCAGGATAGGACAGGGTTCAGGTCTGTTGTTTATAGGGTTGCTATGACTCATACTTGACACAACAGTACTTACAGCAGAAGCAGCATGTAAGTTGAACAGTGACTCTTACTTGGGTCTTTTCCTAATATTCTATCTTGTTCAGTCTGCATCACACAACCCACCTCTCTACCATTGCTTATTCTTTGTTTAGCTCGCTCCTTGACTCTACTTAACCTAGGTTTCATGAGGAGATAGTAATGAAAGTTGGATTAGGCTTCATTGCTTAGTGTTCTGTTCAGAAACCTTCATTATCTCTCTACCTCCCACATTGTGTCATCATAACCTTAGATCAGTAGGCCTCAAGCTGGAATGTGTCTAAGAATCGCCCTGTGAATTTGTACAAAGCTAACATTCACAGCCTTATATGCAGCAATTTTTAATCTGTTGACATAAATTGGCCCTTAATCTCTAGTTAGAATAAGCACGAGGAAATCTCAGTTTGAGAAACCTTCATTAGATTATTATTTCCATTCTCTTAAAGTGCAGATTTTCAGTCTCTGGTGAACAGTACTTAGTAAGTCAATATTTAACTAATGAAGGACTAGGAGGGTTGCCCGTACATGCAGCTTCTTGAGTGTGATTGTTGAGCCTCTGGTTCCCTTTGTCATCCTTTAACAGTGCCTCCTGTGTGTAAGAGACTGTTTGCCAGCGTCTGCTTATTGCTCCTGCAGTGGCTCTCTCAATTCTGAGGAAGCAGTTTTCTGTTTCCATACAGCAGAAAGAGACCCTTGGAACTTTTCCAAGTGGAATTTGTTGTAACATAGGAAGTTCTTTAGAGAGCTATCCCCTAAATAGTTTCTGACTTTGGTTCTAGCCTTCAGTCATCTGAGTTCCAGTTGTAGGGAACAACTTGAGGCTGAGAATGGTGGCTTCACATGGAGCATCTACAGAGAAATTAAAGGCTCCTATGTGCACTGTTCTTGTTAGTTTACCATTTACTGAACAACATATCTCTCATTCAGGAGTATTACAACCTGTACCTTGTAGTAACAGGTGTCTGCTAAGAGGCTTGTTATGTTGTTGTTATGTGCCGTCGAGTCGTTTGCGACTCATAGCAACCCTATGCACAACA